AAAATACTCCAGACACACAATAGTCCAGCGGATTCGTATCCGGAGGTATTTTGGGGGCCATTGTGCGCTGGAAATGAAGCGAGGAACCGTATTTTATAAAAATTCTTGGGTGGCGCGTGCTGAGTGCGATGGTGCTGAGTCCTGATGGAATGTCCAAGGTCTGCAGCCAAAAAGTTTGCCTGCCCAAGGCTTTAATACACCCTCCAGAATATTTTGGCGACAATATTCGACATCTATTCTGATGCCACGATCGATTAATACGAGCTGAGAGCGACCTTTGGCTGTTATCACGGCCCACATCATCACCATGGCCGGCGCTTGAGTTCTGGTGGCCAACCGACACATCTGGTGCACATTTTCAGCGGACCTCTTTGGCAAGTGAACACGATCATTTTGTTTGTTTACAAACCGCTGGACAACGAATGTTTTCTCATCGGAAATCGGAGAAACCGAAATTGGGCAGTTAACCACTTTTGGCCAAGCGAAGCAAGTCTTTAGCTCTTTTGAGTCTATTTTCTTTAGGTTGCGCGTTGTAAGTTCTTGCACTTTTTGGAATTTCAATGGCTTTACCCAGAGCTCATTTTTCAATAGTTGTCGAACGGAATATTGCGATATGTTCAGCTTAGGAGCCATTTTTCCGGTTACGGCGACACGGGTTTCGATCAAGTCGCTTCTTTACTTTTCGAAGCATTTCTGCTGATGTTGCTGTTTTCTTCCGGCCACTTCCTTGATGTCGGGCTACGTCGGGTAAGACACACAAAAAATTTAATCACATTTAAATGCTGGAGTGGTCTAACGATAACCACTTGTGGTTCTCCAGCCAAATATTAAGAAATCCCTCTATCACGCTTGAATTCCATCACGAATAACTTAGCTTCTGGAAAATTCTCAGCCAAAATGCTTTTGTACGCCTGTAAACAATATAATGAGCTATCACTGGAATAATTTTTACAGCTGTCGGACGAGTGGCTTAGAAATGACAGCAGTCTGAAGTTGGTTGCCGTTATTTTCATCTCATCCTTCAAATAAATCTAGCTCTGAATTTTCCCTCCCCATTAAATTCAAATCAAATTAAGTTTTTTTGTTGTTGCATATTTCTTCATTATTTCATTATTGTCTCATTGCAATCGCTTTGCCATGCATTGACCCCTTGGAGTTGCGGATGTCCATTCATTGCCGGCTACCAAAACATGTTTTTCGCCATCTACGTCACATCGTGTAATTCTTGTTTGACTTTTGTAAAAAAGAAATTTCATGCCTGATTATTCCCGGCCAATGCCGATCACGATGATGAAGAATGAACAACCGCAACAACAACAAAGACAACATGAAAAAAATGAAAAAGAAGAAGAAGCAGAAGCAGAATTATGATGGTGATTACAAACTTGTTTACAACTACTACAAAACTAAAGTTGTAGAATTTATTTACATGTTCGGTCTTTGTAATAATGACGTCAATATGCGGCTCAAGGAGCCGGGGACAGGTTGTGTTCTGTGTGTAAACAAATCCGTAAAACATGAAATGAAGTATTTCCCTACAAAAATGCTGATTAAAATCTTCTAAAGAGAGGTGAAGGCTTGTTTTTGGTAATGCGGAAAGTTACAGCATTATCGGGCGCGGAAATGGTGAGGAAAATCTTCCACATGGGAGCCATAACCATATCTTAAACGATTTCCAATAAATTCTTGCCTAAATTTGGTCGTATGTGCCAAAACCCTTCCAATTGGGCGCCAAAGTTATATTTAAATCTGAATCGTTCTGGAAAAAAATTAACAGCTGTTTTTTCAGCTGTATTTGATATCAGATACCGAATACCTTTGTTGCGAACGGCATATTATGGCTATGGGGGACTTAAATATCAAATCGGAAGAAACATATATATGGGGGCTATAGTTAAATCTCAACCGATTTTCACCAAATTTGGAAACCTTGCTTCTAGACTGCGTCCAGTCGCACCTACCAAAATACCCTTTATCTGGGTTGAAATTTACCATTTGGTGCACCAGAAACCTTCAATCGTACGAAGATATATATATGGAAGCTATATACAAATCTGAACCGATCTCGATAAAATTTGGCAGAGGTGTATCTAAACTGTATTTGATACCAAATATCAGTCTTATAAAGTGCATATTAAACATGCATAAAATCGGATGATAGCTATAGTTATATCTGAACCGATTTTCATCAAATTTGAAGTGCTTGTTTCTGGGATGAATTCGATCGAAAATCAACTCCATTAGGGCTGATATTAACCATTTGGTGCAACAGAAATCTGAATTCGGTTAAGGATATATATGGAAGCTTGCCTTCTAACGACCAATGAAACCGTCACACGCTTCCCGAATGTTACTCTGCGGTATTTTGGCCCATTCCCGGCGAAGCGCTTGCTTGAGGTGATCGACACTTTGGTATTTTTTAGTGCCAACCTTGCTTTCCTTTCAAAATACTCCAGACACAATAGTCTAACGGATTGGTATGCGGAGATTTTGGTGGCCATTGTGCGCTGGAAATGAAGCGAGGAACCTCATTTTGTAACCATTCTTGGGTGGCGGCGCGTGCTGAGTGCGATGGTGCTGAGGAATGCCTGTTGGAATGTCCAAGGTCTACGGCCAAAATGTTTGAGTGCCCAAGGCTTTAATACAGCCTCCGGAATATTTTCCCGATAATATTCGGCATTTAATAATGAGCTGTCATTGGAATAATTTTAAAAGCTGTCGGACGAGTGGCTTAGAAATGACAGCAGCCTGAAGTTGGTTGTAGTTTTTTTACTCTCACCTTGTACGAAGACGTGAACCTCCATACACAATTTTTAGGCATAGGCTGTAGTATCTATTAAGATTTTCGAATACGAAATTTGAGACAATTCGGCTAAATAATGTCGCTAAAATCATCAAAATACCGAATATCGGGAGGCAACGTTATATGGGGGCTATACGAAGACATGGATGTGCACAGATAATTTTCTGTCATAGGCTGAAGTATCCATTACGAACTTCAAATACGAAATTTGAAACAATTCGGGTGTATTATGTCGCTAAAATCATCAAAATACTGAATATCGGAAGGTACCGCTATATGGGGGCTATACGAAGACATGGATCTGCACTGATAATTTTCTGTCATGGGCTGCAGTACCTATTAAGATCTTCCAATACGAAATTTGAAACAATTCTGGTAAAAAAATGTCGCTAAAATTATCAAAATATCGAATATCGAGAGGTACCCTTATATTGGGGCTATACGAGGACTTGGACCTGCATACAAAAATTTTTGTCATAGGCTGTAGTACCCATTAAGATTTTCGAATACGAAATTTGAAACACTTCGGGTAAATGATGTCGCTGAAATCATCAAAATACCGAGTATCGGAAGGTACCGCTATATGGGGGCTATGCGAAGACGTTGACACGCATGCAAAATTTTTTTGTATAGGTTGTAGTACCCATTAAGATTTTCGAATACGAAATTTGAAACAATTCCGGCGAATGTTGTCGCTAAAATCATCAAAATACTGAATATCGGAAGGTACCGTTGTGTGGGGGCTTTACGAATACGTTGACATGCATACATTTTTTTTTTTTTTTTGGATGGGCTGTAGTACCCTTTACAAACTTTGAGTACGAAATTTGAAACAATTCTGGTAAAAAATGTCGCTAAAATCATTAAAATAACGAATATCGGGAGGTACAGTTATATGGGGGCTATACGAGGACTTGGACTTGCACAGACAATTTTCTGTCATAGGCTGTAATATCCATTAAGATCTTCGAATACGAAATTTGAAACAATTCCGGCGAATGATGTCGCTAAAATCATCAAAATACCGAATATCGGGAGGTATCGTTATATGGGGACTATACGAAGACATAGACATGCCTATAACATTTTTTTGCATAGGCTGTAGTACCCCTTGCAAACTTCGAATACGAAATTTGAAACAATTCGGGTAAATAATGTCGTTGAAATCGTAAAAATACCGAATATTGGGAGGTAACGTTATATGGGGGCCATACGAAAATGTGAACGGACATGGCCCATTTACAAACCTAACATGCCTACTGGGAAAATACACATATGTGCCAAATTTCAGCCTTCTATCTCAATTCGTTCGAAAGATGGCGTGACTACAATAGACAGGCGGACAAACAGACATACAGACGGACATCTGAAAATCGTCTTAGAATTTTACACTGTTTACGAGGAGTTACAAACGGAATGACAAAGCTAATACTATACCCTCCATAAAATTGTGGAGGGTATAAAAACAATCTCCTTACAGTCCTCTTTATCGATTGATTGAATAAAATCCCAGAATTGCCTATACCATCCCGGATATTTAGTTGTTTTTTTTTTAACTCCCACTAATTACACTTGTTATTGTTTTCAAATTGCGTCACTTAATAAAAATATATAAATATATTCAACACTCTTATAAACATCTCAGAATTACTCATTTTGAGACCTAAACATTTTTCCCACGCAAGTTATTGGTGTGTTCAAGAGTCATGAGATATGACCTAATAAGGTCATGTTTTTTTTTTAGACGAGGAAAGCCCCAAAAAAATTAAAAAAATAAATAATAATTAAAAATAAAAGTAATAGTAAAACCAAGAGATTTATATGACATTAGAGTCATTACTATGGGGGAAAAAATTCAGAACAAAAATTAAAATTTATAAAAAAATTAAAACTAAAGCAAAACAAAATATTTAACCGGTAACATGGTGATAATACAAAAACAAAAGCCAGACATGGCCTGAAGCCATCATTTTTTTGTTTTGTTTTTGCAAAAAAAAAAATAACACAAAACACACACAACCTGCAATTTCTCATTTGTAGAGAGTGCTTAATGCACTCTCTCTCTCTCTCTCACTCTCTTGATAACACATTGGCATTCCAGCCAGAAAAAAACATGAATGCTAAATGTTTTCGTTGTTTTTGCAACTGAATTATTTAAATGTAAGCGTCAGTGATGAGCCCAATTCAGTTGGATTTCAAAACTCAAACTGTTCGCTTCCGTAGGAAAGAAAAAGTACACGCCTTGAGCTCTTTAAAGCCTTTTGATAATTTGGCGTAAATATTGAAATTAAAATTGAAAAAATTTGACAAAGAAATACAAATTTTTCAATTAAGAGAAAAATATAAATAGCTAGTGAAAAATACACAAAAAGAAAAAAAAATAATTGTGTTTCAATAATATAAAAAAGAATTAAAAAATATAAACAAAAAAATTATTTTGCTGAAAAAAGTGATTATATTTTTTTATATCAAAAAAATTAAAAATCAAAATGTCGTGCAGTAAAATCTTCTCCACCCTTGCCGGTCTCTTGTTTGTTTTTTTGGTGCTGTGCAGTTTTAGCAGCAGTCAAGCGGCTGTGTTTACACAACGGGCCATAATCAATCCTGGTTAGTATTTTTTTTGTTAATTTTTTCCAACAACTCACGTTTTCAGAAAACAAAAAAAATGTTATTTGTGTTTATTATTAACGGTTACATTATGCATATTTAATAGTGTGAAAAAAGGCATTCAACAATGACTTCTATATAGGAAGACAAAACAATTTAAAATCAATAGGAAAAGAACAATAATAACAACGATAATTAGAAAAGGGGAAATTTTGAAGGTATTTTTTTTGCAGTTATTAGGGTGTTTACAAGTAATTTAATACCAATAATTTTTATGGGGCAAAAATTAGTTTTTTTTTATTAGAAAAATATTTAATTTAATAATTTAAAAATAATATTATTAAAAAAATATTAATTAAAAAATAAATAAATATTAAATTTTTCATTAATTTTTTCACGTGGAAAAAAACTAAATGTTTAATATTTTGTAAAACTAAAAATTTAATACCAATAATTTTTATAGGGCATAAAATAAATAATTTTTTATCGTAAAAATTATGGGGGAAAATCGGTCCAAATTTAGATATAACTTCCTTATGTATTTCATCCGATTTCAATTTTTTTTTGTGCTCCATATGTGTAATATTCGTTCAAATAGAATGGATTTTCGGCACATCCAATCGAATTTAGCTTAGAAGCAAGTACCTCTCTCTCTCTCTTTCGTTTCAATGCTCCAATTCTCTCTTGCAACTTCACGTTTGTTTCTTAAGTCTTTTGTGTGCATTTGTAGTAATGTTTATATTTCTAATTTCCTCACTCTCTTCTCTTTTATCACTCTTACTCTCTGGGACAGTGGTGCTCAAAACCGTGTTCTAGAACATGAAGAGAAAAAAGAGATAATTAAAGAGAAAATTAAAATTCTGTTTTTCTTTATATTTTACGGTTCTATTTAATTGTTTTTAAACACGACTGTTTGCCAAAATAATTTATAAAGCAAATGGATAAAAAATATTTGTATAAATAATGACTTAACACTGCTTTGTTCTTGATTTAAATAAGCAAAGAGAAATTCGACTGAAAAGAGATATTTCTTCTTGAGCACCCCTGCTCTGGGACATCAAATTAAAATGCGAATAATAGTTTCCCTCTTTAAAAAGCGTTGTTTTTTCGTTTTTTATTATTTATAATAATTATTATTTAAATATTATTATATATTGGTGATGAGAAAAAGCTTGTATACTATTTGAAGTGAAGATGAGAGTAAATGATTTCGAATGTTGAGATGGTAAAGGAAAACCAAAGACTTAAGAAACAAACATAACAATGCACTGTTTCATTGTTGAGAAAAAGAAAACATCCATGAGTATATCAAACAAAAGACTTAGGAAACGAACTTTTAATTAGAAAAAATGTAGAAAAGAGTTAATATCGAATAAAAATGAATACAAATTTATAGAGTTGTTATTAAAATTAAAAACTTTAAAATGTTGCAGTTTTTTGAGATTAATTTATAAAATATTTGATTTTTTTAATTAAAATTAATTCGATTATTTAAAATTATTTCATATAAAAGACTTGGAATATGAACTTTAAATGAGAAAAAAAATGTGGAAAAGTGTTGATATTGAATAAAAATAAATACAAGTTTATAGAGTTGTTAGAAAAAATAAAAACTGAAAATGTTTAAACTTTTTTGAGATTCATTTATAAAACATTTGATTATTTAAAAGTATTTCAAACAAAAGACTTAGGAAACAAACTTTTAATTAGAAAAAATATTGATATTTAATAAAAAATAAATGAAAAATAAAATAAATACAAATTTATAGAGTTGTTAGTAAAAATGAAAACTTAGAAATGTTTCAACTTTTTTGAGATTTATTTATAAGATCGTTGGTTTTCTAACAAAAATTGTTACATGGAACAGCAAATGAAAGACTTAGGAAACAAACTTTCTTATTATTACATGAATTTCTTAGAGACGGAATTTGTGTGTGTGAGAGTCTTTGGAAGAGAAATCTAAACAAAAGACTTAAGAAACGAACAATTTTTATGACTATGCCCCAACAATAATTTCTAAAAAAATTAATTCATAAAAAAACGAAATTAAAATATCTAATTTTTGGGGAATACATTCCTCTGGGAGTAAACAAACCCATTAAATAAAATAACTGTATACAGCTATTTTTTATGAATAAAACAATAATTGGCAAAAAAAAAAAAAAAAAAAAAAAACAGGGAATTAATGACAAACAATGTGGATTCTAAGAATTCTTTAAGTCTTCACACACACACACACATGTACTAGGTCATTAATAAAATTTGAAAATGATGATAATTAGCGAAATTGTCTCATCAGCCAAGTATTCATTATTAATGACCTTGACCAACAGATGACAGTTGTTTTCGTTCTTTGATGGAAATTAAAGAGATAATTGTTTACGCGTGTTTGCCATTGCGAATCAGCGTTTTAAAAAATCAGGTTTTCTTTTTCTTCGTTTTTTATTATTTGTATTCTTTTCTGGTGGAATTTTTCATTGGCAGTGATTTCTTTGTCCTTTGTCTGGCCAACAGAAATCTCTCTCTGTGCAATTCAAAATGCCTTGTGCATTCTTTTGGTTTTTGCTGCATGTTTTCAAGTTTTACAAGCTATTTATAGCATTGTTTATTTCGAAAATATTGGGGTCTTCCAATTGGCAAGGTGTTTATAGTTTACATTCCTTGTAATTATTTTAAAAGTCCCCCTCTTTTTTTAAAGGTATTCGATTTCATGCCAAATGTGGTTGAAATATTTTGCTTTAAAGGAATTTTGATTTTTTTTTTGATTTGCTTTCGAGTGTGTTTTATCATTGTCATTCTGTTTATACCCTCGAAGATGATTTATTTTGTTTTGTAACAGGTCATGTTAAGTCAGCAAAAAAAATAGTGTTTAGTCATTTCCACAATTGTTTGTTTGCCTGTCCTCAAAATTCTTTAAGTGATCATAAATTTGTCAGAAATTCATGAAACTTTTTTTTTGAAAAAAATATTTTTATAATAAAAATATTTTTTTATAATAAAAAATATTTTTTATTAATAAATAAATAATAAAAAAAATGGGAAAATATTTTTTACTAATAAAAAAAAAATAGAAAAAATTTAAGCGAACAGAAATATAGAAAAATATATTTTATTATTTTTTATAACATATTATATAAAAATATATTTACAAAAAAAAAAAATATCTTCATTTGTTAAAAAAACATAAATTTATTATTTTCAAATTTTATTTGAAGAAAATTAAAATAGATTTAATATTATTTTTATACATTACTTTATTATTTATTAGTATTTCACGTATTCATTTTAATTTTACATTTTAAAATTTTTTAAATTTGGATATATTATAAATAAATTTCGATTTTGGACGACATCCGAGTTTAAAAAACAATTAAAATGAATGGATAAATATAAAGAAAAATACAATTTTGGTTTTCTCTTAAATAATCTTTTTTTGGACTCATGTGCTAGCACACGGTTTTGAGCAGTGCTGTTGTAAAACAATTTTTCTTGTGCTCTCCTTTCGTGTCCCTCTTCAAGTTCTCTGAGAATACAGTTATGAAAAGGCGCATTTCCGAAGACATTCATTAGTAATTAGTTATATTTATTTTCTTGGAATTTACGACGTAAATTTTACGTTCATAATCCTATCTCTCTCTCTCTCTCTCTTATTTACACTCTCTTTTGTTATACCTAGGGAATTTCTCTAAGTTTTGGCTCAAAAAACGTTTGTTTTCTAAGTCTTTCTTTATTGCAATTTTATTTTTAGAATTATTTGTTGGAGAAAAAATAATGTTTTGACATGTTTTTGTGTAAACATTTCAATTGTTTATTTTTATTAAGTGTCATCATAAATAACAACAATTTTGTGCCGTAGACACAAACCACTTGTCATTATAAATTGCCAATAAATGTCATAATCGTGCTGTGCAAATGACCTTACATTGAGGATAATGTTCATAAATTTATTTATTGTTTTTGACATATCAAAATAGAAGAAGAGAAAAAAAATTAACAAAAATTATAAGTGGGTAATTTTTATGGGGAAAAAATGCAAATTTAGGATTCTGAAAAAAAATATATTTTTTTTAAATAACATCTATAAATTTTATGAATAATTAAATAAAAAAAATAAAAGCAACTCTAAATAATGGTATTGTATAAAATTTAAAGAAAAGGTAAAAATTATAGAAAATAAAAAAATATTAATTAAAAATTGTTATTTTTATTAAAAATTATAATTATATAATTAAATAAAATGTAGACATAATTTATGGTTTTCATAGCAAATAATTTTAAAATTATTTTAATAGTTTTATGAAAAAAAAACAAATGAATAACAGTCTCAAAAAATTTTAATTATTGGACAAAATTTTAAGAAAAATAGGTAAAAAATATTTTTTTTATTTTAATGAGGAAAAAACAAATTTAGAATTCTAAAAAAACAAAAAAAAAAAGACTTAAATAACATCTATAAATTATTTTTATAATTGTTTTATGAAAAAAATGAATATCAGTCTCAAAAACAAAAATAAAAATAAATACATAATTTTTGTTTAAAATTTGAAGCAAAATATGTAAAAAATATTTTTTTTTTATTTTAATGGGAAAAATACAAATTTAGAATTCTAAAAAAAAAAACAAAATAATTATATAACATCTATAAATTATTTTTATAATTGTTTTATGAAAAAATAAATGAATAACAGCCTCAAAAAATTGTAATTATTGGATAAAATTTGAAGGAAAATAGGTAAAAAATAGATTTTTTTATTTTAATGGGAAAAACACAAATTTAAAATTAAAAAAAAAATAAATAAATAACATCTATAAATTATTTTTAAGAATTTTTGAAAAATGTTAAAAAAATTGAAGCAACTCTCAAAAAAAAAAAAAGAAAAATTATTTTTTTTCTTCTTACAAAAGTTATATGAAGGAAAAATACAAATTTAGAATTCTAAGAAATTCTAAAAAAAACAAAAAAAAAAAAATTAAATAACATCTATAAATTATTTTTACAATTTATTAAAAAAATATTAAAAAAATTGAAATAACCCTCAAACAAAAAATAACAATTATTTTTTTTATTAAAATTATATGAAACATAAAATTATATATAACTAAAATATAAGAGACATCATTTATAGTTTCCAAATAAATTTTTCATTTTTTTTAATTATTATTTATTTATTTTTTTTTTTGTTGAGTAAGCTTTTAAGATTTATCTTTCATTATTGTATGCCTATCAAACTCAGCCAAAATTGTTTACACTTGCCTGCCTCTCCACTTGGGCATGGTATTGACGTCAATTGCCAAAATAATACTGGTTTCATTGGCATTTATAGTTGGTGTTTTTGCCAAAAAAAAAAAAAAAACGACAAAATTCCTTCCAACAGCACAATGAACCACAACATTCAGTGGTCAATTTCACGACATCCATACCCATCAGGCAGGTGTTAATATTTTTTTTCTTTTTGAGAAGGTCACATAGTAAGCATAACTTAAGAAAATGTTGTTATTTGCATTTTTTTGTTTGCTCCAAAAAAAAGAAAAAAATTAAGAAGTTCCAAGATGATAATCAAAGCTAAATAGTCATGGGAATTTTTTTGTTTGGAGTTTCTATTTTTGAAAATGATTTGATAGAGTGAAAAATGTTGTGAAAAAACAATTAGTATGTTTTTATTGAATTATTCCTTTGTCTATTTCCATAATACTAATTTTAAGCGGTAATCCAATATATTTTTGTGAATTTCTATTTTTGCAAATGATGCAAAAGATTTATTGAGATTAAACTAATTTAAATCGTTAATGTTTTTCTGTCTTAAGTCTTTTGTTTCTCTAAGATTTTTAAAATATTTAAAAAAAGCTAGTTTCTTAAGTCTTTTGTTTTCTGGTCTAATTGTGTATTTTGAAGAATTCAAGTTCATGAGATTGTGCCAGAAGTCTTTGGTTGTCGGGACCTTACCATGAAGATTACCATCTTTTGTTTTTATTAAAAGTTTTTTAGGTTAGTTTTTCATTTCAGAAACATTTAAAAAAATTAATAATTATTTGATATGAAAACCATAAATTATGTCTCCATATTATATAATTACATATGATTTCACATTTAATATAATTTTTAATAAAAATAAAAATTTTTAATTGTTATTTTTTTCCACTTTTCTTCAAATTTATTTTTTGAGAGTTGTTTTTTACATTTTTTAATTATATGAATAATATAATTTAAAGCTCTTATTAAAAAAATATTTTCCCAGACAGATGAGGATTGGTGATGAGGATTGGTGGCTCTTTCCGAAACCTTGGTATTCCCTGCCATATCCTCTGGTACATATTACCATCGTTCTCCACTAATAAAACAACAATAAAGGGATTTATAAAAACAACAATAACGGGATTAAGCATGACCATTTTTCAAACAACAAAATACTATGGTATCCCGAACAAACAAGCCAACACTGTTTTTTTTAGGATTCTACATTTGTATTTTTCACGATTAAACCATCTTTGGAAATTCGTTCTTAAATTGATTAATTGTTTTAATTTTTTTTTTTGATTTTTCATTTCCGTCCATTAGAACTTTTCGTTTATTTTCATTTGCGAAATTTTACAAATTTCATGTTTGTTTCCTAAGTCTTTTGTTTCGATGCAAAATATGTATATTTTCCCCATTTCTCTCTCTCTCAATAATAATAATCGGATAATTCTCTCTCTCCAGCAACCACTGTTAATTTTCGTCTCTTTTCGGTGATGAAGTTCGTTTCTTAAGTCTTTTGTTTCGTTGCTAAATGTTTATGTTTTTTGACTATTCCACTATCCCCATTTCTCTCTCTCTCTCTTTGTCTGATAATTATCCATATATTTGAGTAGAGAATTACCAATTAAGCCAAGTTCGTTTCTTAAGTCTTTTGATTCCATATTCGAAATCTCACTCTCCTGCAGCTGTTGTCATTTCTCTTCTCTTTTCACTGATGAAATTCGTTCTCTAAGTCTTTTGTTTCGAGGGTAAATAATTATGTTTTTTGACTATTCCACTATCCCCATTTCTCTCTCTCTAACTCTCCATGTCTGATAATTATCCATAGATTTGAGTAGAGAATTACCAATTAAGCCAAGTTCGTTTCTTAAGTCTGTTGCTTCCACACTCACTCTCTCCTTCAACCATTTTTAATGTTCGTCTCTTTTCTTAGATGAAGTTTGGCCAACCTCAAGTTCGTTTCCTAAGTCTTTTGTTTTGATGTAAAACATGTATATTTTCTCCAACTCTCTCTCAATCTCATATAATTCTACATATATATGGGAGTGAGTAGTGACTTACCATTTTAGCCAAGTTCATTTCTTGAGTCCTTCGTTTTCATACTCATAACCTCTCCTACAACTTTCATCATTTTTTATCACATTTCTCTCTCTCTCACTGGGAAATCTATAGCTTGCTAATTAAGCAAAGTTCGTTTCTTAAGTCTTTTGTCTTGACTCTGTTTCTCGAAGAAGTCCTGAGTAACCTAACAAGAAGGCTTCTACAGCATTCTTCTCACCTCTGCCAAAATACTTATTTTTCTTCATCCTCTGAGAGTTTTTTTTTGTTAAGTATTAAGTTTGTTATTCAACCAAAGTTAGTTTCTTAAGTCTTTCTTTACCATATCAAAACAGAAATTCTCTCCTTCTCAATTACTCCCTCCTTGTAGGGCTATCCTATAAAAATTGCTAATTTCTCTCTCTCCTTACACCCTCTCTTATTTCTCCTCTGACGCTCTCTTTTTGTGGGAAATGCAAAAATGTCAGCCTTTTGTTAAATTTCCCTGTCTGGTCTCAAACTCTCCCTCCCTCTCTCTCTCTCTCTCTCTCTCTGAATTAAACTGTTAAATGGGTAATTTCTCTTTCAATGTTTGTTTCCTAAGTCTTTTGTTTCTTCTATAAAAAAGCAATTATGTTTTTCTCTGTTCACTCTTTGAAGTATGACCAACCTTTACCCAGTAAATGAGTGTGAGGTTGACGTGGGCTTCTCTATTTTCTCAAGGGGTTACAATAATTGAAGGAGAGGGCGTTGCGTTTACTGAGAACCACTGAGAGGGGTAAAACGTTGCCTTCTTGTTTGGCTAATGGATTATTTTAATGAATTCAAGTTTGTGTCTTAAGTCTTTAGTTTTTTGATTGATTTTCTGGTTTTCATTAGCTAGTTTTTTTTTTTTTGCTTAGTGCTTCCCCTATGGAATATTTTTTGTGAAATTGATTTAGTTCAGGCTTAATTTTCAATTTGTCTATGGGCCTTAATTCTTTAGTTTTTTTTTCGACAACACCACCAAATGAATATTGATTAGCAGTTATGTTTTCGAACCCCTAGCCACTTCCTTAATAATAAAAAAAACAACATAACATATGTCGTCTTCTGTTTCTGTAGCACAGTTGTCTGTCTGTCTGTCTTGTACAAAATTTTTACACTTATTTTAATCGAAGAGCGAGTAGCTGACATGAGTAGCTAGAACAGACATTATTCATATCAGATTTCCTTCCCTTGTGCCATATAAATAAGCCATAGTCGTTGTTGTTGTTGTCTACAATATTAAATATGCATAGCTGATGAACTTCCTTATTTTTTAGTTTTGCAATAAATAATAAAAAAATACTAATTTCCTCTCTCTCTCTCTCTGCTGTTTTTTTTCTCCTTCTACAGCACATCCCGGTAGATGTTTTGATAAATTCACCCATCGTGCCATGCTGCCCAACAAGGAATACAAACCCAAAGGCATTTGTGCAGCCTTGACTTGTGATCTGGAACATCAGACCATTAACATTGAGACATGTCCCTACATTGAGATGCCCGGCTGTGAGGAATTGCCGGCCGATCCATCGTGGAGTTTTCCCAAGTGTTGTCCCCAGTTTAAGTGTACCGATTTTAAGACAGGCAAGGAATTTGTTGTGTCGCTGTAAGCCAATCGACCAACCAACCAACAACAAAACCCCGATGAACAGTATCAACAGCATTAAGTCTTAATCTCATCATCAGAAAACAAAAACTAAATATTATATTAATATCTTAATACAAAAAAAAAACCTTATCTTAAGTCTAGAATGTGTGAATGACAAACTCCCCCAAATGAGTGCCTGTAAATATCATTAAATTGTTTAAATCATCATTTAATTTATTTATTATTTTTAAATTTTCCAAAAAAAAAAAAAAAAAAATTCACCCAATCTAAATGCCTACAAATTTCGTAACATTTCATTGCTCTAAGGCCTTGTACATACATATTCCCCCTCCCCCCTCTAAGTTTCACTCACACCCCATCACTGTGTGTATGCGTTAATTTTGTATGTATGCGCGTCTGTCAAATTGTTTTATTTAGTTTTAAGTGACAACAACAACAATTCCCATTTTTTTGTATTAATTTTAAATTTCATAGTTGTTTAGTTTACACCACCTGAATTGATGATCTTTGTGTGCGTTTTTGGCATACTTTTATTAATTGTTTTATAAATGTTTTTTTTTTGTAATTTTTTGTAAAAATAAAATTTGTAAAATAAACACCTAGTTGTAAGTTAATTTAATGGAAAAAATTTGAAAAAAAAATCAACAAAAAAAATTATATTAATAAAAAAAAATAATTAATGAGGAAATATTAAAAAAATTAAATATTTGTTTTATTTTTTATTTTTTTATTGAAGTCCACTAAAAAATCACTCTTGGCCTCTTTTCATCAAAGCAATTTGACACATTTCAAGTTCGTTTCCTAAGTCTTTTGTTTCCAAGTAAAAAGGTTTAATTCTTTTACTATGGCATTATCTCTCCCTCTCACTCTCTCTCTCTGATGATCCTAGATAGGCGTGAGTGGGGCATTGCCAATTAAGCAATGTTCGTTTCTTAAGTCTTTTGTTTCACACTAGACCTCTTAAATCACTTCGCACTTCTCGTCTCTTTTCATTCATGAAATTTGACTATTTTCGAGTTCGTCTCCTAAGTCTTTTGTTTATATATAAGAAATGTTAATTGCTCTACTACAGCCTTGCTCACGAAAAAATATCTCTTTCCAGTCAAATTTCTCTTTGCTTATTTAATTCATTATTTATACAAATATTTTTTATTCATTTGCTTTATAAATTATTTTGGCAAACATTTATGTTTAAAAACAATTAAATGGAATCGTAAAATATAAAGAAAAACAAAATTTTAATGTTCTCTTAAATTATCTCTTTTTCGGCTCATGTTCTAGAACACGGTTTTGAGGGCTGCTCCACTATCTATATTTCTCTTCCACTCTCATTCTCTGATAATTTCATTTAAGAATTATAACCAAATCACCAATCGAGAAAAGTTCGCTTCTAAAGTCTTTCCTTGCCGTGAAAAAAATCCTCAGGTCACTGAGGAGACATTTTTCTATAGAAAAAAATCATTCTTTTCTATAGAGAAAAAATTGCTCAGTTAACTAAGGAGAAAACTAAGGCCACTGAGACGACTTATTTCTAGAGAAAAAATCCTCAAGCCACTGAGGAGACTTTTTTTCTATAGAAAACAATTCCTCAGGTCAGTGAGGAGACTTTTTTCTATAGAAAAAAATTACTCAGGTCACTGAGGAGACTTTTTTCTATAGAAAAAAATTTCGTCAGGTCACTGATGGGACTTTTTTCTATAGAAAAAAATTTCGTCAGGTCACTGATGGGACTTTTTTCTATAGAAAAAAATTTCGTCAGGTCACTGATGGGACTTTTTTCTATAGAAAAAAATTTCGTCAGGTCACTGATGGGACTTTTTTCTATAGAAAAAAATTTCGTCAGGTCACTGATGAGACTTTTTTCTATAGAAAAAAATTTCGTCAGGTCACAGATGATACTTTTTTCTATAGAAAAAATTCCTCAGGTTACTGAGGTAACTTTTTTCAATAGAAAAAATTCCTCAAGTTACTGAGGTAACTTTTTTCTATAGAAAAACATTCCTCAGGTTACTGAGGTGACTTTTTTCTATAGAAAAAAATTCCTCAGGTTACTGAGGTGACTTTTTCTATAGAAAAAATTCCTCAGGTTACTGAGGTGACTTTTTCTATAGAAAAAATTCCTCAGGTTACTGAGGTGACTTTTTCTATAGAAAAAATTCCTCAGGTTACTGAGGTAACTTTTTTCAATAGAAAAAATTCCTCAGGTTACTGAGGTAACTTTTTTCTATAGAAAAACATTCCTCAGGTTACTGAGGTGACTTTTTTCTATAGAAAAAAATTCCTCAGGTTACTGAGGTGACTTTTTTTCTATAGAAAAAAATTCCTCAGGTTACTGAGGTGACTTTTTTCTATAGAAAAAATTCCTCACGTTACTGAGATGACTTTTTTCTATGAAAAAAAATTCGTCAGGTCACTGAGGAGACTTTCTTAATAAAATAAAATTCTCTGGTCACGGAGGAGAACTTCTTTCTATAAAAAATCCTTAGGTCACCGAGGAGACTCTTTTCTATAGAAACAAAAATTGAGGAGATTTTTTTCTATAAAAAAAATTCCTAAGACCACTGAGAGGACTTTTTTCTTTAGAAAAAAACTAAGGCCACTGAGGATATTTTTTTATATAGAAAAAATTTCTCAGGTTACTGAGATTACTTTTTTCTATAAAAATATTTGTAGGTCATTGAGGAGATTTTTTCCTATAGAAAAAAATTCCTCAGGTCATTGAGGAGACTTTTTTCGGTAGAAAAGGATTCCTTAGGTCATGGAGGAGACTTTATTCCATAAAAAATCCACAGGTCACTGAAGAGACTTTTTTATAGAAAAAAAAATTCCTCAGGTCACGGAAGAGACTTTTTTATAGAAAACAATTCCTCAGACTGCTGAGGAGACTTTTTTCCATAGAAAAAAAATATTAGTAGGTCACTGAGGGGACTTTTTTCTAAATCATCAGGTCAAAAAATCTCTCAGCGCACTGAGAAGACGTTTTTTCTATAGGAAAAAAATTTTCAGGGAAGGAGAAGAATTTTTATAAAGAAATAATTCCTCAGAACACTGAGGAGATTTTTTATATGGGAAGAGAGGGTATGTATAATTTCATACGGCCAAAACGTGCCCAGGCGAAATAATGGTTTTAGACCCTAGGTCTCATTGGACCATATCCGTTTCAGGGCATTTGGAGTCGATCTAGAGATGTACGTCCATCCGTACGTCTGTCTGCCTGGCTGGCTGGTGTGCACGATAAATCTCGAAGGGAGTATCCGATTTGGCCCAAACTTGGTACATCGTAATATTATTATCAAATGTAGATTGAGTTCGGAGATGGGCAATATCGGTCCACACCTTCTGGTACCTGCCACACAAAATGTCAACATTTTCAAAAAAAAAAATAATTTAATGCACAGAAAGAGAACGGATAATTTGATGTTGCTCCAACTTTGTAAATCCTACTATTTGCATCCGTAATAGGTCAGGTGGGAAATTGGACAATATCGGTCCACTCCACCATGTACCTTCCCCACAAAGGGTAAACATTTGGAATAATTATAACTCTTATAAAATTTAATGTAAGAGTCCGATTGTCTTCAAATTACACACATCACAATATTTTTGTGAACCCAAGGTCGGGTGTGAAGATGGAATATATTGGTCCTCTACTTCTGGTACTTCTCCCACAAAGGGAGAATAACCAAAACGATTATAAAATCCGAAAAACGCATTCGGTTTTCTTCAAATTAAATACATCACGATATTTTTATTAACCCAAGATCTGATGTGAAGATGTGTGTGTTTCCACTCATACTGGTACCTCCCTCACAAAATGTCAACATTTTCAAAGAAAATAATTTACTGCACAGAAATAGGAAAGATAATCCGATTTTGCTCCAACTTTGCAAATCCCAATATCTGCATCAGTGCTTGGTGACTTGCGAAAATGGACATTATCTATTCACTCCTTCTGGTACCTTCCCCACAAATGGTCAAAATTCTGAAAATTCATGAAGCTCAGAAAACACGAAATTAACATCCGATTCCATTCAGACTTGGTACATCTCAATATTTTCATCAACATGAAATCTGTTAGAAATGTGGTAGAGATCGGACCATTCCTTCTGGTACCTCCCCCACAAACGGTCAAAGTTTTAAATAACCAACACGATTATAAAATCCGAAATAAGCATCCGGTTCTCTTCAAATTAAACACATACCATTATGTCTACCAACACAACATCTGCTGTGAAGATGAAATATATCGGTCCACTCCCTCTGGTACCTCACCCACAAAGGTTCACTCAATACTTTTCTATGTCTATAAATTGCGAAACAAGTCAGCAATTCTTTACAACTTCCTATATCTAAATATTTCTCCCAAGCTGAAATGGAATTTATGATTCCGCATAAATTTGGATATAAATGTTTGATTTCCTTCAAATTTTGCCCACACCAATATTTTTATCTGTATTAGAGAAGTATTAAAATGGAAAACTTCAATCCGCACTACCACGCATATTTCCCAATTTTTCAAAAATTTGCACATATCTCCTATAAAATGTAGGAAATAGACGATATAGTCCAAATCTGGCACGTTGTAATATTTATATAAGCCTTAGGTCAGATACCAAGTGTCCAATATTGGCTAACTGCTCCGGAACCTCCCTCATAAAAGGTCAACAGTTTGAATAATCATCCCTCAAGGCTGGGTGTATACATCTGTCGACAAAACCGTCTGATACTATTTTACTTTTTTTTGTAGAAGAGTTCCTCAAGACGCGGAGAGAAGAATTTTAATTTTTAGAAAAGAGTTCTATGGGGAAACATTCCTCAGATTACTGAGGAGACTCTCTCTTTCTCTCTGGTGAGTGTATATCCCAAATACTCTCTGGCAAAATAGTTCTATAGAAAAACTGGCTTCAGGTTACTGAGGAGCAGCCCTGCTCAAAACCATGTTCTAGAACATGAGCCGAAAAAAGAGATAATTTAAGAGAAAATTAAAATTCTGTTTTTCTTTATATTTTACTATT